AAAGAAAGAAAGAAAGAAAGAAAGAAAGAAAGAAAGAAAGAAAGAAAGGAAGAAAGAAAGAAAGGAAGAAAGAAAGAAAGAAAGAAAGAAAGAAAGGCTCAGGTTGGGGTTCGCTCAAATTGAATTTAAAAAGCGTTTATTTATTAAATTTATGCCCGGATCCCATGCCGGCCCTTGCATGAGCAAGAGTAGCAGCAAGGACATGGAAACCCCACATGTCGACCTAAATTCTGGAGAAAAGACATCCAATTTCATATTTTCCATCGCCTCTTATTTAAAAAGTGTCAATGAATCACCTCGGACTGCTTCGCTACAAGGGAAGCCTTTTGCACATGATACGCCAACCAAATCTCCGCAGCCAAAACTTTGCGATAGTGCGTGTAGTGCTTCTGATGCTTCTGATGCTTCTGATGCTTCTGATGCTTCTGATAGAGAAATCCCAAAGTTACTACCCCAGACATTAGCATATTCCTCGCCAAGGCCTTTATACAGGCTATCTAACCCAAATACGAATGTCGCATCGCCAGTGTCTATCAAGACTCCTGCAGACATCAAGACTCCTGTACACATCAAGACATTTTTAGACACAAAGAAAACGCCAGATACCAAGGGGCTATCTGCTGCCTCAAAGTGGACAAGCAGTTCGATTGAAAACGATATCAAGAACATCAGAATGCAAATTGAGCAAACGCTTTCTCATTACTCTTCATTTGCTCGTGATGTCAAATTAAAGGAGCGTGAGCTGCTGATTGAAAAACACCTGTCCGCCTTAAAGATAGCATCTCCGCTTTTGTATAAGAAAAAGCCCCATATTTCTGAATCCACTTCAGGTGACAATCCCATTTATCTCAAATGCTATTCCGGAGAAATTGTGAAAGACGATGATGCGATTTCGATTAGCGACGTCGATGTGGATGGCGATTTGAAGCATCGTTTCTCCAACTCAAATGGTGTAAATAACGGGTTCGATTCACATCAAGATCCCGATGTAATTATCCAAAAATACAAAATTCCAATTCGAATCGAGGACCTATCAACTCTTCAGCACGGCGCATGGCTAAATGACGAGGTACTGGCAGCTCCTTATTTTTAGATCATCAATTTTTATCTCAATATGGTTGCAGAGCTCTCTGGCCATCTTTCGAAAAAAAGACCGATAGCCAAGTACGGATTTCCAAGGGTATATCCATTCAATTCCTTTTTCTATCCCAAGCTCGTTCTTTCAGGACATTCGTCTGTAAGAAGATGGACCAAGAAAGTCGATCTGTTTTCCGATTTCGATTTGATTCTGATTCCCATTAACACATCAAATACACACTGGTCACTTGCAATAGTCGATTTGCACAAACAGTCTTTGTATTATCTTGATTCTATGAATGGGCACCTGAGAGGTACACCTTTACCGGTTTCATATCCCTGTAGCTAAAAGTATCTTTTTGACATTAAAAACGTATTTGTCGGAAGAATGGCATGATAAGAAAAAGGGGTCCCACCATCCTCCATGTTTTACCAGTTGGAGCGAGATTTTACCAAAAGTCCCCACACAAGATAATTCCTACGATTGCGGGATGTTTGTATTGCACTTTGCCCTTGCAATTGCCATCAACTATGATGCCTTTTTGAGGAGGGCAAATGGTCAGATTGATCATATCTTTAGAAAGATTTCACAGTCAGATATGCCACGGTTGAGGAGTTTGGCCGAGCAGCAAATATGTAAAGGCTCGCTGTTATTCTTCAAGTAAAAATAAACCAATTCTTTATTGCATCATTTCCCTGATTTTTTCGGAGACATGGTTGTCATACTTATCACCACAAAGTCCCTCCGATTCCTTAGCAATAGAATAGACTTTCTCCAATATGTCTGTCGATAGATGTTTCTTTGACACCGTTAAGAACTCTATCAATTCTTTACATAAAAACAGCTTTGCAACCGGCAACTTCCATGGCATTTGATGAGTCTTTCCATCAATCAGAAGCTGTAAAAACGATGAAAGCAATCTATCGGTGGTTATGCCGGAGGAGCCAAATACGGCATTGAGGAACGAACTCGATACGGCGATCGAACCGGAATAGACGGTTTTTGAAATCCAATCAACTAGATAGTCGATTGGAAATGCAACTTCGGAGGGCAAAAACCGGGGTCCAAGCTGCGAAAATTTAAAAGCAATACAGATGGCCAACGTGGAGGGATTGTTAGAAGCAAGCTCGTGTTGCAAGATATTTGTCCAAAGACTGATCACTAAAGAAGCTTGGTGCTTATATTGGGCAGAGTCGATAATTATCAGCGAAAATTCGTATAACTTCAAGGGCCGTGTTATCTTATTAAACAGATCCGATAGCGAATACAAATGCTTATCAAGCGACGCAATCAATGCCTGCAAATCGGACTCTGAAATATCGCAACTAGATGCAATTTCAAGCGTGTATGCCTTGAGATGAACAAGAATCTCTTCCTGGATGGAGACAACCTCTAAACGCTCCTCCTGTTCCCTTAATGAAATGTTTTGACACGCGATCGTTGGGCAGGATTTCAAGTTTGCAATCGACAACGATATGTATTCTATTCGCTCGGCCAGCGACTGTATACTAAACGATAAAGATGTAACTTGGACACACATACCCCTCCGCCTGGGATAGAGTGCAAAGCACCGTGGCGGCCTCGTAAAACATGTTTCTTTGCACGTAAAATTTCCACAGGATGTCTTTAGCCCATGAGGGGACCACTATTGAGTTTGACAAAATCTTCTCAAATCTGTCCTTCAAATAGGTTTCCACAAAGCTTGTTTGGACCTACGAAAAGCGGATGTGCACAAGTACCTTTTGAATTAAATACTCCGGTATGGATTTCTTGATCATCCAATCATATACTCTTTCATGAACGATGGAAACGGTTGATTTTTGCAAAACATAGTCCAGCAAGTTATCGAATAGCTTGAAAAGATAAAGATCATCTGGAGAAAAAGATGCAGGGTCAACTGATCGAAGTGCATTTGAAACCAATAGGGCATCATCCAGCAAAGCAAATAAGACCGAAAAAACCGCCTCTTCACTAAGCCTCGCTGATTTTGCCAACGAAAACTCGCAAGAAAAAAGGGAAAGGCAAATATCTGCCGCATCTACGAAAATCAAAACACCAGCCTTACTCTGGTGGTAAAATAGAACTCGTGCTTGATCGCATATGGCAGCAAGCCGAGATTCTGATAGTTCGGAAAAATGGGGTTTCAAAATTTGGACTGACGAAGCGACCACATCACCCCTATCAATGATGGATTGGATTTTGGCGGCATGCTTTAAGCCTTCTGATGCCTAAAATGGCATGGTGATCAAAATACCTGGAAAAACAGAACATCAACTGGCGTCAGAAACATGGGGCATCTCTGCGAAATAACATCCACAATCGGGTCTAAAACAGCGTCCTTTTCCAATTGCTTTTGCATAATGGCGCCAACAAATTCTACCAAACATTCATGGCCCTGCTTTGAAGAAAACAGCAACTCAAATGTAAGCGATTTGAGAGAACATTGAATGTTGACCGGCAACCTAAGCATTAAGAGAACCCCCAAATACCGTTTTAGCAGATCCCTCTCTGAATAGTCCATAAATAACGAAAAAAGTGCAATCCCTTGTGTGGTATATGATACTAGATCGCCAAATTGGGTCAGTGTTATTGAATCAAACGAACTTGCCGTCCCCGACCACATTGTCTCTGAGCCGTTTGAAATGTGTGTCTGGGATGATGTCGGGATTCCGCCAATCAATACCCAATTCCTACCATTGAGTAAAGAAAAATAAAGTACGTTGATAAAAAGCTGCTCAATTGAACCAAATCATCCTGGATCACTCTGAGTAAATTATCAAAGAAAATGCGCTCTTTTTTCCCCTTGACACTTCTTGAATGATCTTGAAAAATTGTCGCAACAGGCAATTTCCATAGTCGCCGAACAATTCGGCCAAAAAGAGTAATCAAGGCGCGGATATGAGGAGCCAGCGAGGTTCCACCTGAATGAGCACTTGTATTTTTCTTGCAAACAAGAAGACTTAAGGCTTGTTGAGAAACAGGAGCCGGGATTTTGGATCCAAATTTGCTGGGAGAAAGTGCAAGCAGAAGCAATAAGAAAACGGTGCTATCATCGTCCGGGATGGTCTGAAGGTGTGTGGAGCTTGAGGAAATCAAAGTCATTTTCTGAAAAAGCCTTTCCAAGGGCCTCAATTTTGCCAAAATGGTAACACCTATCGGAATAAGTAAACAAGAACAAGCGAACCTGTATTGGTCAAAATTAAAAATTGTCTCAGCGAAAAAGATTGCACATCAATGAGCTCGTGGAGGATAGACAATCCATTGAGCCAGCTATCTTCCTCAAAATCGGAGCCATTATCAAGCATATCGAATGTAAGTGAATGGGGAGCCTCCGCAATAGCCCAAGTTTTCCCCATGATTGGAAGATATTTTCCCCGAAGCTCAAGTAGAGCAGGTGGTGTGACGCTTTTCGAGTGTTCAAAGGCCCCTGAAGAGGTTGTGCCACGAGGAGTCTGTTCAAATCTATCTTTTCCCGAAGGTTCAGTAATACAATTGAAGATAACATCTTCAGTTTGAGCCTTGGCTTGAGCAGATAAAAATACACCTCGATTATAAAAGGAACAATGGGTAAGCGTGGCCTGAGTGGTAATAGAAAGGCCTTCGCCAGGATCTTGGGGCAATAATCGAGCATGTAAAGGAATTGCTGACATCTTAAGCATCGAAGGAGCGGCAGATGCTGGCTGTATGGCAAGAGCATACCAAACACGTACACCAACGGTGGTGGAAATGATAAAATAAACATTGGACGACTGGTTGGTCGTTACAGGGTGAATGTCTACAACGTCAAAGTCACTCTTTTTATAAATTAACGACTGAGGACAAAGTTTCAAAAAGTCCTCATAAACATTTTGGACTTTTGCAATGCGTTCAATTGTCGAATTTTGAGAAAGGTTCTCCCTACGGAACGAGAGGATGTCAATGGTCCCCGAATTGCTAACTGCATACAAAAGAAATCTTTTAGAGTCGATTTTCAAACTAACAATAGGATCCACAGAGCCAAATCGAAAAATGGTTGGTATCAATGAGGAGAGAATGGAGGAGGTTTGGTTGATCTTTTTGCATTTCCTACCTCCGGACCAAGAAAACCAGGAGTTGCTATCGCCCTCATAATTTAGCTGGTAAATATTGCCATCATTTCCTCCCATAAAAACCAGTCCCTCTGGCGTCCCAGCAATGGAAAGCATTGCTACTCCCTCACTGGAGATCCCAAGCTTCGTATCGATTAGGCTGTATTTGGACAAAGGGGAGGCCATGCGAGCAGAAGGAGACATGTCTGCTAATCCGCCAAAAGAACTGGAAGAATTTTGTTTTTTTCTTTTCATTAGCCCCAGGATAGAAATTTCTGACGTCGTAGCAACGATAAGGAGATGTTCGATCGCAGGTACAAAAACACCTAACATTAACTTGTGATAGCGAATACCAGGCATCGGGCAGACAAGCGCAACGCTTATAATCAATGATGAAAATAAATGATCCATGAAAAGAGGTGCTGTCGAATCGCTTTCAAAATCCCAGATAAACAAACGATGGTCTACCGTGATCCAAATGCTGCTTATTTGCGGAAAAATCCCCATAAAACATTTGCTCTCAATGGCTAAGGAAATACATTTAAAGGCTCCTCAAGCTTACTTTCAAATTGACGGAAAATAATCTCCGGAATTGGCACAAATTTCTTTTTTACAAAGAGAGCCTCCTCGTCGTCAATGGGTATTTTATAATCCTTTGAATTACGCCCTATAATTGAAACGAACTCATTTTAACCTTGAAATCCTTGAAAATAATCAAAAATAGATGCATCTCGCAGAATATTTTCATCAATCATGCGAGAAATATTTTTCAACTGATCATAATCAGAAGGGGGAATTGAAAACACGGTTGATGTGGAAGTAGGTGGGGAGGGTTTTCTTTCATGAATATCCCATGTACTCGGAAAATCTGGAAACTCTTCCCCTTCATTAACGCTGCTAGATGGACGTTTATTTCTAGAAAGAAGCGGGAAGGCGACTTTTTGTTCCATGGTGTTGAATTAAAATAAAGTCCCATAATTAAAATTTAAGATCGATTCTATAATAATTTTGAGATTGGAAAATTAATCGATTTTGTTTGACCTTCTCAGATTTAAAAGCCAATGATGATCAAGGTCTTCCTACCGTTGGTTCCCTCCGGGTAGAGCTGAACGATGGGGAACGCATTTCCAGTAGCTTGTCAGATCTGAGGCTTTTTAAATAATACCATACTGAGAGTGATACTTTATTAAATTAACTATTGACAGAATACTTGTAGCTAATAATAATAGTAAATAATAACCGAGTATGACGAACCTGCATTTAGGGCATTGGTAAAATATCGTTTGGCCTTCGTCGGCAGACCTCAGTTGCATTGTGTGGAACGTCAGCTCGTTGTGGTTACATCTGGGGCATTTTTCGTTAATAGTTAATTTAATAAAGAATCACTCTC